TTCACGGTAGCATATCTCTACCGTAAACTCGACTATACTCAACCTAAACATAACTCCACTGATAGAGTTGATTCAGTCGAAATTTTGGAATTACTGTAGGGTGTTTGACGCTAGTTTTGGCACTCCTATAACTCAGCTCGAAATCTTTGGTATAGATAGTCTTCAGCAACGTCATACAGCTTCCGCAATGTCCAGTTCACAGTCACCATTGGCGGACTCTGGAGGCGATAATGTATCTCAAGATACCATACCATTCGGTCCGATTCTTCAAGTAACAGGGTAATTGTGAATCTTTGTGAAAATTGTTGTGTTTGTTTGTGGTATTCATAATACAGCTTATTTCAGCCTAACGAAACGAGTGTTTTCGGGTTTTCGTTTGGCTCAAGCTGCCCTATATGGCGTTCAAGCTCTTCTTGCATACGTACTCATGCTGATTGTGATGACATTCAATGGAAATCTCATCCTGAGCATCGTCGCCGGTGAAGCTGTGGGTTACCTTCTTTTCACGGGAACACCACTCGTAGATTCACATTTGTCAAATTGTTGTTGAGTTTGTTTATCAATTTCTTCTTTTGTAAACATATACGATGGTTTGTTTGATCTTTATTTTCGCCAATTCTTGCTGTAATATGCACGTGTACACTTTTCGACGTGCTTGATATGCACTCATTCACTGGTTTCGTATTTTGCAGTATTCTTTTTCATAGTGAGCATTACACTCCGAAATTTCACCCATGTACAGTACCCAATTTTGATGCCCACAGGCACATTTCGCGATTGCAAGTCGTGAATATTGGAGTTTGAAAACGAAATCGAATTGCCAAAACGTCACCTAATTTGCTTGAAAAAAGCGTCTTTTCCCCGTTCTTCAGCGTTTATCCCACGCGGGGCGGGGTCCGGCCTTGTAATATGATGACGCCACTTTTTGTGGTCCTATTTGGGGTGGATTCCAGCTTTTTGTGTTTGTATGCAGCGTATCGAGCCAGCGCTCTTTAGGACGCCCTTTGGGTCGCATCCCGGGCACCTCAAGCGAAGGCTACTCTCAAAGAAAGCCCCCGCGCTCGAGTAGTACATGGTCGTCCTCCCTTGTGCAAGTACTTCAGCCCCCAAGCTAGAGAATCCCACTCTCGCCACTCCACAGCGAGCGAGGAGCAAGCTACAGCCGCTGAAGGTTCTAGTTCTAACGCCCGCCCAGTTGGACCGCCCACTTGCTAGATGCCCTCTGACGGAGGGCCGCTCAGTTGTTCTTTGTTGGGGCGGCGGGCATTAATCGGAATTGCATGCCCTTTTTGCTGACCGCGCTCGTGCCCATGAATGATTCTGCTCTCCTTTATTACATTTTATTTATTAGAAGCACATACAGTCAACTCCAACCCATTTCGCAAGGTAAAACGCGTAAAATCACGAGCGACCCAGTTTTCGTGGTGCAAGACCTCGACGCACTCACTACACTAAAAGATGCGCGCTACCGTACCTAAATTCGGACGCCGAAACTTGAAAGTTTATTTTTCTTTTCAAGAGTTTTTCTTCCGTGTTTTTGTTGTTTTCGTAATCTTTCTTGCATGGGACGATACCTGCTACTGGGAGATGTTATAAAGGGATTTGTGAGCCAGGGGTTGCACGGGACCGCAGGGAGGTGTGACTGTCAGGAAGCGATTTTGTTTATGGTGTTCTTGAGGACTCTTCTTGCTTTTTTTCTTCTTCGGGAAAATTACTTATCAGCTACTGTTTCATAATTGGAAGGCAAATCCATGACACTTTTATCGCGGGAGCTGTCTTTGAAAGACGGTATCAGTCTTTGCGCGAAGAACATGACTGCACCATCGAAGGTGCGTTTCTCGCATTTTGCCAAGAGTAAGAGCTGCGTATTACCTGTTAGAGATGCTGTCCGAACGCGAAAAAGCTCACTCCCCCCCCCCCGGTCCAACGGAACATTTTCATGTCCATCACACCGAGGACGGCTTATACTTCTGTGTTCGTGGGCCAACCGTGAGCACCATGTAAGGAGTTGTCGAAGCACAGAGAATCCCAGAGAAGATCTCGTGAAATGGCATCCATAACGACAACGAAAAGGTATGGAAAGCACGGAACCTTTGTGCCGTAATGGTTATTGGAAGCTCCATCGAAACGCCTGCAGGTGTCCGCTTGGCTCTCTGGGTTTGGAATAAAGGATGCGCACCCACTCGATTAGCTCTTCAGGAACGCCGTGCTGTCGCAATGCGCACCGTATAACTTCAGGCGACACACGATAGCATGCCTTCTACAAGTTTAGGAAGGCTACATGCACAGGCTGGTGCCTCTCGCGATGTTTCTTCAGCAGAAGGTTAGCTGCATGTACGGCGTCGATGGTTCTGCAGCCGGTCACGAAGCCACACTGGTTCGCAGAAAGTTGACCGATATCGCGGATACGATCGTCAACAATTTGTTCAAAGATCTTCATGCTGTGCGAGAGCAGGCTAGTTGTACTGTACTTCGAGCAGTCCGCTGGGCTGACTTCTTCTTCCAAATTGGAATGGTCGTGCTTTGCAGCCGGTCCAGTGTTGCGCCTTTCGCAAACCATTTGCCAAGTCGTTGGATCCTGTTGCATTGCCTGTCTTCATCTTCTTCAGATGCTTCTGTTCCTCAACGGATATCTTCTGGACAGAAACATATACTGGTACGACAGAGGGGATAGCCAGATGGATGAGTTCTTTTGTCGTGATCTTCCAGGAGTAGTCGCGCCATCGTTGCAGCGCCCTCTTTCCGTTCTTCAATATGTGGCTGTTCTCGTCACTGATGGCGAAAGCTTTCCTATGTCTTTGGTGGCGACAAGATTTGGCCGGTCGGTAAAGGGGCCGTCACACCGCGCGTCTCCAATCACTTCTTGACATTGTGGAAATGAGCGGCTTTCTCAGCAGCCATGGCCCTCTTTCCTGCACTCCTCG